CTAGGCCTCCAGAAGTCCTCTGTTGGGGAGGCAGTCTCATTAGTTATCTTCCAAACAAATCCAATTGGTTACAAAGCCTCTTTCCTGTTCCCCACCAAGGAAGCAGCCGAGCACTCACCGAAAACTGAGGTCAAAGCTCACCTTGGACTCACCGTGCTCCCCAGAATATGCCCCACTTTCTCACGTCCACTCCACGGTCAAGGGCCCATTTATTTTTCAAAGTCTTGGCTTAACTTTTTTTCAGATCGCAGTCTTTTGAACGAGACGCAGCCCGGCGCAGAGACCTGATCAGAGCTTCAGTTTGGTTTCGAGATTGGGGACGAGCGATGCCAACGAAATCCTACAGCTAAACACCAACCTCCGACATACCCATACTGTACTCTACGATATCCCGTTTGTCTGCCTTCACAACCATGGCGACCACCCTCCAAATACATAAGCCGTATGTGCTAAAGGCCTTGTCGCATCCTCTCGACCGTCCCGACGGACCAGGAAAGCACACTATCGGCGAGGTCTACGGCCAGGTATCAGGGCCCGCCTCCAAAAAGAGGAAACGCTCCGAGCTCGCCGTTGCCATTGACGGCGACTCGGTCCATCTCTACGATGTCAGTATCCTTCTGTCCGTCTGCCTTTAGTATCTGTCGCCGACTAACTCTCGCTTCAGATCCCCTCGGCGCAAGCCATCACCTCCTACCTCGTCCCTCCCCAGGCCTACTTCACCTGCGCCCCCTACTCGCTGCGATGGAGATCCGCTACTTCCAAGACCGCCTCTCGCTACACCTATGCCTCGACACAAGACTCTCTCTCGGCCAAGAAGGAGATCAAGCTGTTCAAGGACGTCGTTGCCGAAGCTGGAAACACCACCTCGACCACTGCCACCTACGTCCACCGTTGCGCTAAGCCCGTCGTCCATCTTTCGGCTACCTCAGTACGGACCTCCAGAGACACCTTGACCAACCAAGATACCCCCGCCCACGACGTCATCGCTGTGGCCGCCGACGGCACTCTGATCAGCCTCGCCGGCGAGACCCTTACCGAAAAGTGGCAGTCGTCGCCCTCCATCCTCACCCAGGAGCTGCCCTCCAACACTGGATGCCACGTCGACTTTGTCCAGCCCGCCCTCGCGGCCGATGTCATCGATGGCATGTTTGGTGGAAAGAACGAGCTGTTTGGCGTCTTCCAGGAAAAGATTCACCGCCAAGGCTTCAACCCCGACATTCTAGTGCTCGTCACGTCGCCAGAAAAGTCCGAGTCTACACGCCAGAGATACTTGCACATTCTTGCCCTACCAACCGAGAGGGCCTCTCAACAAGTAAACCAGCAGAACGTTATTCCCATCTTCGCCGCTCCTCTCCCAACCAAGACCGGTGCCGCCAAGTTCCAGCTCGACGTCAGGTCAGGCACTTTGCAGGAGCTGGCCGAGGGCGTCCTTTACACATATGCTTTCAACGGCGGTATCCCCCGTCTCGAGAACAAGCTGGAGGTCCCGGAGATGACCTCCTTCTTGCGCCTATCCAAGACCTCGGTTCTTGCTGCTACCGCCGACTCCCTTACCATCTACAACCCCGTCTACCGCTCGCTCCAGGCTACTGCTCCCCTTGAAGTCGGCGAGGGTGCCTCGTGCGAGCTCGTCACCTACCTTGCTAGCCGTGAGATCGCGGTTGGCCTTCGCGGAACCTCGTTGATTGCCGTCCAGATTGAAGCCCCCAAGGCCCGTACCAGCAAGCGCCGCGCTGAAGGCCTCCTCGCAGATTCGATCCGCCGCGGCCTTCCCAGAGCTCAGCCTACTCAAAAGCGCGGCCATATCGAGCTTCCTCCTTCAGCTATCCTTGCAGAGGCTCTCCCTGGCACCATGACGGAGGAGTACCTTGCCCAACTGGCGGCTGATACCGCCAAGGCCGACGAGTACCTTAACGCCAACAACCTGAAGGGTTTCGAGGAGCTGCTAGCAGGCCAGTTCAAGATCCAGCTAAAGGCTAAGAAGGAGAAGAAGGAAAACAAAGATAAGAAGGTCAACAGCACTACCGAAGACAAGACCGAGACCTTGGACCTCCCTGAGTGGTCCTGGCCCTCCAAGCGCTCCGACTACCCCCAGGTCGACCGTCGCTGGGTCTTTTACGCCATCAGCCGCGTTTTCTCTTGGAACAGCTCCAGCGAAAACCCAAAGGCCACACATCTCTCCTGCCGCCTTGCCGAGAGCAGCGTGCTCAACTACCTTGTCGACGCTGGCCACCTGACCATCTCCAACATTAAGTCCGCCTTCAAGGAAAAGATCCGCGAACTCGGTGACCAAGTCGACAACGTCATCGGCGAGGAGCTTCCGGCCGTCCTTGTCGAAGTCGACCCAGCAATGGAGCTTCTCGTCGTCTACCTCTCCTCCACCCAGACCTCTCCCTCCGAACTCGTAACATCCATCAAGCTCATCCTCAGCAGCCTTGACTTGCTCAACAGCGCCAGCGCTCCCAAGTTGCAAGAGCTGGTCCTCCGTCCCTCTCCCAATGCCACCACGACGTCCTCTGAGGCCGACAAGCAGCCCGAGGACACCGAAATGACTGACGACGACGCCGCCATCACCAAGCAACTCGACCAAGCCGAGCAAGAGCTCCAGCTCACCGAGTACCTCGCCGCCACCACCTCCTCGCGCTATCCCCTCCGCGCGCGTGGCCTCTCCGCCGCCTTCTCCAAGCTTTCTGCCTGCCCCTCCCTCCCTACTGTCCAGACCCTCCGCCGTCTGCTGACAACCGAGGAGATTGTCTGCCTCATGAACGTGCTCCGCAACGAGATGATCAAAGACGGCTGGACCACCAGCTACGTGGCCGACGAGTTGCCCGAAGAAGAGCAGGAAGCGCCGCCCGATGGCTCCATCAAGCTCATTGCCGATTTGCTAAGCAGGTGCATCGACGCCGTTGGCCTAGGCGGCTGGATGGGCTTCGATGCCGTCCTCGCCTCGTGGGGCAGCCAGCAAGACGCCGCCGAATTCTTGAACTACTTCCAGAATGAGGTCAGCGTGGCGCTGGAGGGCCTCAATGAAACTGTCAGGCTCCAGGGCATGATTGGCGAAGCTACCAACTACGCCAAGAGGGCGAATACGTTGCTTAGTGCTGCTGCTAAGCCCAAGGCCTCTTCAGAGGGCGAAGGTACCGCAGTCGTGCAGCTGTCGGCGGGTCCTCTCCCGTTGGGTCTCAAGACAGAGGAGAAGATTGGTTTGGAGAGAGTGCGTGGTGGTGGAGAAATTGTGCAGAGGAGCATGAGGCAGATCGGTATGTTTGTGAGCAAGAAGAGGAGAGGGTATGAGGTGCACAGGATTTCGGAGGAGGGCTTGCTGAGCAAGGGGAGTGGACGGCCTAGTTTGGTTGTTCAGGAGGCTCTTTGAGTATGGGGACAAGAAGTGTTGAAAAGTAGGAGTATACAATAGATGCTGCTTGTGACAGATAATAGGATGGATGGATTGTCTGCGAAAGAAAGAGCGTGTGTCCCAGATCTGGATGTGGTGAGCACGAGACAGGGTAGGTCTCTGAGTGTCACTTGTAGAACAGAAGAAAACAAGGGAGGGGGAAGTCAATGCGATACCCGATGGAAAGGGGAGAAGTATAGATGTTAGATACAGTAACAACTGGAATGGGCTTTTATTCAATTGGCCAAACCCCTTTCGAACCATGACCGTGACCGTGAATTGGAAGACTCCATTGCCTTGGCCCCCTCTCTCTATTGTGCCTCCTCTCACAGGCTCTCAACTCATAGATTTGAACTTGTTGACCAAAAGCCTCTCTCTCTCCCATAACATAGGATATCAAGCATCTTTCGTTAAAAGGACAGGAGGCCGGGATTAGTGATTTACCGTAGCAGCAAAGGTGCCATAGTCCCATTCTGTTCAAACACACGAAGCCAGTATGAAAACTGCACACGGGTAGTCTGTCTAACTCTTACTGTGTGTAACAACGAAAATGCCCGCGGAGTTGGGACATCTGGCATTTCACACTCTCTTATCCACTCCCTTCTTTCTTTCTTTTTTTTCTTTTTTTTTTTTTTCTTTTTTTTTTTCTTTTTTTCCCCCCCCTCCTGGCCAGGTAATGAGACTATTCACACGCAAAGTACCTGGACCTACGCTGCCTCACTTACCTACCCATACGGGGCTCCACCTAGAAGTGCCCTGTCCGGGCCTCCTACAAATTGCTAACGGTTGAATAAGGTAACATTGTCTCCGGACTCCGGCGCCGTTAGTAGAAGTAAGTACACGTGGTGTAGGGTGCAAGTCGGAGGCTCGGAGGTATGTGGGGTGTGGAGTAATCCACCGGACCGGGGACGGGACCGGCACGGAGATCACGGGGACCACGGGCGAGTACATCGGTCTCCCCTTTGCCGCTGGAAACTCCCGTCACCTACGCAAGCAATGCAGGATCAAGAAGGCCAGTCGCCCACTTGAGTAACCTGCCTCTGGAAATTCGGGTAAGGTACTGTACCTCGCTACGCTAGCTACACTACACCGATGAAGTGGTCGTTACCTAATAGCCAGCTGATGTGCCCAAAAGTGACCTGTCAACTTTGAGAAAACGCATCCAAACGGGTGTCGGATGTATATTTCTATGTAATTGGTATCGGAGATTTCTAGGAAGCGATAATTTTCTTTAATGGCTTTTTGGGCGGCGGTGTTGTTACGGATAGGAGGATCCTTGTCGTCCAAGGACATGGAGCAATTAGCCACGCGTGCTAGTGTTGAGCTGAACAGCCGCAAATCAATAGTGCGTGCTTCCCGTTCCAATAGTGACGAGGTCCTGGGAAATTGTAGATGTTCTAGGCCAGAGCGTTTACGGTGGGTTTTTACTCGTTGCCTCTGTCTACATATACCAATGGAGGTCCGCGCAAGTTGTGTGTTGTGACTACCTACCCTTACTCCTACCTCAGTCGCTCCTACCTCAGCCGCTCCTTACCTACCTAAATTTCTCGCCCATTATCTGTCGTTCGTTACCTACACCGTTTATTGTAAGAACCAGTTTTGGAAGATGAAGTTCGCTGGGCATCATGGGGTGTTGCCCGTCTTGATTGGGGTTGCGGCGGCATCAAGATGTAAACCTCATCCTCCTTCGTCTTCTACGACCTTGATCACCACCCCGACCATCAGCTCAGTTTCGGTCAGCTCAATTCCAGCCAGCTCTGTCTTGGTCAGCTCAGCTCCGGCCAGCTCTGTCCTGTCCAGTTCGTCGATTCTCTCCAGCTCGATCCCCTCTAGCTCGTTGGTTCCCACGTGCGGCGGCGCTCAGTGTCTTGCCGCCATCACCACAGTCCCTAGCATTGGCGATGCCTTTTGCTCATCATGGCTATCCTGGACCCCTGCCACGACCGTCGTCACCGAAGTTGAGACGGTCACTTCGACCCACACCAACTTGGAGACCGTGACGGCTGTGGTTACCTTGACGACGGCAACAGTCACCGAGTAAGTCTCTTGTGTTTTTGTTGTGACCCTATTCCATGCGCACGCACTCCTCTCTGTTTATGTTACCTGTAACTGACTCCCGTATCAAGAACCGCTGGCACGACCACCTTGTTCCAAAAGCGCCAGCTGCCCTCCGCCGATCCAGCCGAGTCCATCTTCTCCGAATGCGATTCTGCCTCGGCGAGTGTTAGCAGCGCCTGCAGCTGCCATCTCGCTGGGTCTACCACCTCGACCGTGACTGTCACCGAAACAACCACCTCGACTGAAATTCCCAAGTACACTGTACGTGACCAATGTCCATACCTACTTACCTACCTTATCTCTCCCTCCCGTCTCTCTCTCCTCTTAAATCCATCCACACAGCGTACAATCATACTAACATAATATGCAAGGGCACCCTGACCACGACCGAAACCACCAACGTGATCCAAACCGTCTCCGCCGAAGCCACCCGCGTCGTCCCCGCGCAGCCCATCCTCAACTCGGGCCTCGAGTCCTACCTCACGACCGGGAACATCTCACCCTGGACCGACACCGTATCCACCACGGGCGGCACGTTGCAGATCATCAACGGCGTGAACCCATGCGTGAGCGCCGGCGACTGCGCCGGCGGGCAGGTCGTCATTCGCGTCTACCCCCCGACGAGTGGCGGCTACACGGCCATTCGGCAGACGTTCCTCGCCCGCCCCAACACGTCGTACAATTTCAGCTTCATGTACCGCTGCCTCAACTACAACAACGGTGCCTACATGAGCGTCTGGTACGCCGGCCAGCTTGTGTCCAACGGCAACGTGCAGTGCAATACTCCCGGTGCGCCGTTCGCACGTCCCAGAGTGGGCCCGTTTACGACGGACGAGACGGGCGTGGGAGAGATCGAGGTCAGGTTCCATAACCCCGGCGGGTTGCCTTACTTGTACATGTACGCGGATGCGTTTGAGGCGACCGTAGCTGTGTAGGTAGATGGTGAAGTTGAAGGGGATCGGGTCTGGTGTGGATAAATTTCCATTACCTAAAGGTACCATAGTGTGTATACAATGGAGGTATTCTTTGGAGGAGGTAAATAGAAGAACTTGAAGTGGTGTATCCTTTTCTTGTATACGTGCAGTTGGGGGATTATACATTGGCTAGCTAGTATAGACGTGGTGTTAGTAATTTAGTGTAGACACAAGGGCAACCTTCGTATTCAACACTTTCAATAGAAGCTGACCAACGGAAACAAATGGCGTGATTGGAGACACCAGGACAGGAGTTGTGTAGGAGCGCACTCAGGTGCAGATCTTGAAGCAGGTAGGACCTTATTCTAGGACGATTTCAGAAATATAATGACGTCTTTGACCCTCAAGACACGGCCTGAGGAAGGGTAGGGTAGTGATGGAGCTCTCAAGATGACCTACAAAGAGATTGTAAGTTTACCACAGAAACAGAGTCCGAGTGTCCTGGTAGCATTCGAAGGTGAAGTATCGTAAAAAAAAAGACCATCGATGTTCTGTGTAACATGTCATTGGTCAGCCCTAGTTGTGGGCCCACAGACAGCGCCCTCAACCTTTCTATCGAATCCGACGGACGGCAAGCTCACATGCTGGACATCAGATGAGCCTGATGAGGCAGAGGAGGAAGAGCCAGGCTGCCCGCTGAGAAAAGGGGAGCATCAAGACTATGCGCATAGGATGATGAGTGAAAGAGCTCATAAGTAAAAAGTGGTAAAGGAGAAAAGCACCCTGGCTAAATAAAGCGGGTTGTGCAAAAAGGGCAAAAAAAACATACAACACCTGGGATTCGCTGGTCGTCACCGACCCAACTACTAGTCAGGCCCTCACTGGCTTATCTATGGGAGAGCGGACGGGATCCCGAGTTTTCCAGTGGGTATGGTTGTATGTGATATGGAGAGTGGTAAGTTGTGTTCATATTGGATGTCTGGAGGGTGTAGAGACTGACAACAAGGAGATGATGCTCTGTTGGTCGGGGGAATGTCGTCCGATTTCCATGGGGAGAATTTCAGTTCCACTTTTAGTCGCATGCCTACAGCAAGTAGGTCCGATCGATGGATGATCAAGCTATGGTAATTCAGTTTCGTGTCAACTGCACTTGGAGGGCAGTTAACTTGCTCTAGTCTTGAATGTTCATTCAATTCAACCCCTGTGGTACACTGGGCAGTATACTTGTAGACATTGTCACGACTGCCACCATGATGCATCGGCAAAAGAAATACCCCTAACACGGCGCACAAACGATTGCTAAGCATTGTTGATATCAAGTGCCAGCGCAAAAGGGTATCAATCGATCCGATAATGTCAGGAAAATCCAAGGTCACACCCAAGAGAAAAGTGTTGAGGATTTTTCCTGCAGCGAAGAAGGAAGTTGGGTTGGGAGAGTTGCAGCCAGTGGCACTTTGGCTGACCCCACTTGGCATTGTTGTCGTGCTAGCTTCGCAACTGTGGTCGGTTCGTTTCAGGGTTGCATGTGAAATCGTCCGTCTTCGGAAGCTCGTTTTTTTTTTTTTTTTTTCCTTTTTCTTTTTAGTTTGAAGGTTGCCGGCCCACGCGGTGAACATAGACTAGGGTACATAAAGCGAATGTCTCACAATCACAAGCCATAAAGCGGGTTTTGATACCTACCTCTAGGTACACATGGAAGGTCGGTCTGAAGACTGAGTGCCCTGGCAGTGAAAGTGTTCCGTGGTTTGATCTGCTTCCTTGTGAAGTGGAAGCGAGCCGGTGGATCCTAGGTCTTGCTCCAGATAACCCCCGCCTGCCTGCCTGCCCCTGCCCCTCGAGTTGCCTGCCCGCTGCCGCTGCCCCCCCGAAGTCGATGCGGATCTGGCCGATGAAGAATGTCAAATTGCAAGCAGACACGACGCTAAGACCCTTTGTGCATGGACTAGACAGGGGCTGCCATTTCCTATTGGTGCGAATTTGGGCGGTGAAAAGTCTGGGGCAGGCAAGGGCAAGGCCACCAAATTTGGAAACCGAGTTTTTCTTGTTTTGGGAATTGATGGTCGCCCGACTCGAGAGGGTTTGAGACAACTTGTGAGCTGAAGCTGACGGCTCAACGGTGCTGCAGAATATCCGGGGAAGAGCTGAAAGATGGATATGTACTTAGGAGTGTAGTGGACATGTAAAGTCCAAAAAGAATTGGAGCTTGAGGAAAAAGAAGTGGAAAGGAATGCTTCTGTGGAAGAAAGGTACAAAGACCCAGCAAGAACCGCTCACCGCGCCATGGTTCGTTCGCTGGCAATCCTCCAGGGAAAAAAAAGCCAAACCGACTTTCAAAAAGGCCGATCTGCAGAACCCCTATCAGATTAGGCGCAAAGAGGATGAGCAACCCAAGGAAAAGTCTGGCCACTGCACCCCATTGGTTCCCCGCCAGTTGTCAACCCTTCACCTCTGCTTTCAATCCTCAATCCTCACCGCAGTGTAAAGTCCCTCCGTCTACACTACCGGTGAACCACCCATCAGACCAACAGAACCAAAATCACAAGCATTTCGTTTTCCCCTTCGTCTCCTATTGGTGTCTTCGTCTCCCTTTTTTTTTGTTTTCGCCATTGGTCGCCTCCCCAGTCGAACTTCAAACCGCTCACCCCTCTCCTCGCTCCAGCCCGTCCTCTCCCGAATCTGGATCCTCCTGCCCGAACCCGCTCGTTTCGCTTTCGCTGGTGACGGTTGGTCAGTGTCAAAGATAAACCGCGCTAAGCATTTTCGCCTTGTGGATACCGTCTCCCAAACTGTCCCTGGGCCTGGGGGGGGGGGGGCCCCTGAGGAGCCACCTATGTTACCCCCCCTTGCGAGTGAGGGGAAGGTCAAGCCAAGGACCCCAGGTATGGAGACCAAGAGATAAAATAAATAAAGCAAAAAAAATAAATTAGAAAAATCACCAATGAAGAAGGAAGAGAGGGCAAGAAACACTTCAACGAATGCGCACATGGGACAAAAAAAGGAGACGGGAAAAAAAAGGAGCGCCGAACGATATCGGGGCCGTGCAGGGTTGAAGATGGTACAAAAAAGAGGGAAAAAGGAGCTAGCGCAATGCCTGTTGTCTGGACAAGGCCCATTACACTAGGACGCAGCTTGCGTGCTGATTAGATAGACTAGCTCACGCAGATAGAAGGAGACCCCATAACTTTTTTTTTCCCCATCCCATCCCATCCACCACCCTTTTGGCCGTTCCGTCCCCAACTCCCTCTTCCTTTTTTTCTTCTTTCTTTTCTCCCGAGCCTCTTCGTTTTCCTCCCATCACCAATTTCTTTTTCTGAAAGAGGTGTGTCGAGTGTGAGTTGAACCTCAGGTCTTCTTCCACACTACCTCTACCCTCCTCTTCCTACCCTCTTTCTTCACTTCTTGGATATCCTCAAGAAATATCACCACACCCAACAAACATGACGGTCACTACCCGCAGCCACAAGGCCGCGGCCGCCACCGAGCCCGAGGTTGTCAGCACCGGCGTTGACGCCGTCTCTGCTGCTGCTCCTCCCTCCTCCTCTTCTTCTAGCCAAAGGTCGGCCGAGCCCATCGAATACCCCGACATCAAGACCATCCGCGACGCCATCCCCGACCACTGCTTCCGCCCGCGCGTCTGGATCTCCATGGCCTACTTCATCCGCGACTTCGCCATGGCCTTTGGCCTCGGCTACCTCGCCTGGCAGTACATCCCCCTGATCGCCTCCACCCCGCTCCGCTACGGCGCCTGGGCTCTGTACGGCTACCTCCAGGGTCTCGTCTGCACGGGCATCTGGATTCTGGCGCACGAGTGCGGCCACGGCGCCTTCTCGAGGCACACGTGGTTCAACAACGTGATGGGGTGGATTGGCCACTCCTTCCTCTTGGTCCCTTACTTCAGCTGGAAGTTCAGCCACCATCGCCACCATCGCTTCACCGGCCACATGGAGAAGGACATGGCGTTTGTGCCTGCCACCGAGGCTGACCGCAACCAGAGGAAGCTGGCCAACTTGTACATGGATAAGGAGACGGCCGAGATGTTTGAGGATGTGCCCATTGTCCAGCTCGTCAAGCTCATCGCCCACCAGCTGGCCGGCTGGCAGATGTACTTGCTCTTCAACGTCTCGGCCGGTAAGGGCAGCAAGCAGTGGGAGACTGGCAAGGGCGGCATGGGCTGGTTGAGGGTTAGCCACTTTGAGCCTTCCTCTGCTGTGTTCCGCAACTCCGAGGCCATCTACATTGCCCTGTCCGATCTTGGTCTCATGATCATGGGCTATATCCTCTACCAGGCCGCGCAGGTTGTTGGCTGGCAGATGGTTGGTTTGCTGTACTTCCAGCAGTACTTCTGGGTTCACCACTGGTTGGGTAAGTTGTCTCTCGCTCCTTTCGCCTCTGTCTGGTGGTTCCTGTGATCTTTGTGGAATTAGCAGCTAATTCTCGCTCCCTCTCAAAACAGTCGCCATCACTTACCTCCACCACACCCACGAGGAAGTCCACCACTTTGACGCCGACTCGTGGACCTTCGTCAAGGGCGCTCTCGCCACCGTCGACCGCGATTTCGGCTTCATTGGCAAGCACCTCTTCCACAACATTATCGACCACCACGTCGTCCACCACTTGTTCCCGTAAGTTTTTTTAGATGTCCCCTGCTATTTTCTCATTCAAAACCATCCCCTCAATGTCCCTCGCTAACGCCTCAAATCCCGCACAGTCGCATCCCCTTCTACTACGCCGAAGAAGCCACCAACTCGATCCGCCCCATGCTCGGCCCCCTCTACCACCGCGACGACCGCTCCTTCATGGGCCAGCTGTGGTACAACTTCACCCACTGCAAGTGGGTCGTTCCGGACCCCCAGGTCCCCGGCGCGCTTATTTGGGCGCACACCGTTCAGAGCACCCAGTAAGCAGTTCTTTTCTGCTTCCTGGGGCACTCTGAGGAGGCTACCTACCTACCTAGGTACTCGAGTGCTGGCTGCTGCCCTGGTTTAGTGCTACCTACTTCGGTAGCTCTGACCGGTACCAGAAGAACGATGTTGGAAAAAAAGGGAGAAAGACAGGAAGAAAGGGAAAACATAAGAAATCTCAACTCTTCTTCATGATTGATGGATCGATTGATGGATCTGCACACGTTTTGATTGGTTCGGTCGGTCAAAAGGCGCAAACGGTTACCCTTGAAAGGCCTGGATACCTAGGTACCTGGAATTTTTTCATCAAACAAATGATAGACGAGAGAGAGTCTGGTTCAAAGTATGGTAGATCTGGAAGCTATTAGACTTACTAGAGCTATAGATAGACAAAGAGGATAGAGCGAGGGTATGTGTGTGTAGAGGTCGAGATGCATCATAGAAGGGAGGGCATGCATGCATGCATGAAAGAAGAACCAAAAAAATGATACCCACCATAAACATCCAGAGCTTCTCTATTGAGGTGTTTCCCTGTGTGTCCTGCGAGGAATGGTCTGATTGGCGTGAAGATGAACAGCCCCAGAAGCTGCGCTCGAAGGGTGAAAGCTGGTTGAGATCACCTGCGGCTAGCCAATCATATCAAAATATGTTCAACATGTCTCGCTCGACGAAAGAAGGGTTCGAAAATAGTCTACTCACCTCATCTTGACAAAATTCGGAAACATCTCATATCACCACCCAACAGCAGCAGTGCCCGGAACCGCACCACATAAACAAAGAACCAAACATCAAAGTCGTATTTTCATCTACTTACTACCTACCAACTTTCCCACTACCAATCAAAGTTGCCATGTTCATCGATACCTATCCATCATGTCCACAATCCTCCCTCCTCCCATCAGTGCGAACGATCGTCCTATCAATTTTCCCCCCAACCGACAGGACAGTCTGATCAACACCGAACCCTTTTGTACTTTGCTTGCTTGCTAAGTTACCGTAAGAAAGTGGTGGAACTTGCAATCTAGGTTTCCAAAGAATAACTCAACACATTCTCGAACCATTCGATCCCGATCCGATCTGGTGCTGTTCCAAGTCAACCATAAGGGTAAAAAAAAGACCTTTTTTTCCGTTTTTCTCCACATGGCCTTTTTTTGTTTTTCGTCATTTTTGTTTTTTTCCCATTCTTTCCTTCCTCTTGTCTGTTTAAACTCTC